GTTCCTCCTTCACATACTGGGAGAGTTGAGGAGGGGACTCTCTGGGCCCCAGTGGTTTTGATTTTCCTCCCTTGAGCTTCGAAGTCTGATGCTATTTCAGCAAAGCTTCTCCTGGCAGTGTCGTTGGCTCCCACGTGGAAGAGAAGGGGTATTTGTCAGTGTCAGTGGGTTGTATGAGTTGTGTGAAATTGTGGGTTGTATCTTTAATCTTGGCACCAGGGAGAAAGCATACTTTGCAATTCTCTGCATCATCGCAACATAAATATTTTTGTATCTTGCACAACAGTATCTTGTATCTTTGTATCTTTGTATCTCCCACCACTATCGCTCTTCTCATTTTGGTGTTGCAAACTTTGCTGTCCTTTTCCTTACCAATTGGCCTTTTGTCTCTTTTTCAGAGTTACACAGTGTGTCGTGTAGCTCTTCCACGGCAGGTCTCGCACTCGCCCCTTCCGCAGGTAACTCCAAGTGGTTCGAGGGTCCCACTGCTTCCACTGGAGCAGACTCTCTTCTTGGTCTTGTGCGCCTAACCGTCAACCTGTTCCAGCGAGTTTCCCCGTCTGCCCTTCCCTCAGGGTTCTCTTCTGCTGCCTCACCTTGCTGCTGCTCTTCTTGCTTCTGGATTGCACTTCGCTGCTGCAGCTCCTCCACTCTGTCTAGGAACTCCTTCCCTTCCCTTCCCTTCCCTTCCCTTCCCTTCCCTTCCCTTCCCTTCCCTTCCCTTCCCTTCCCTTCCCTTCTCTGGAGGGTGGACCCTCTTCATGGCTTCTTACATCCAATATTGAGGGGGTGGCCAGCTGGGCCCAGGAGGCTGCCAGCTCCTCTTTGAGGGAGGGGGCAGTGCCGGCAATTGTAAAGAAGGTAGTTGTGGCGTCACTTCTGGAAATGCCCAACAAGGACCAGTGGCTACAATCTCCTTCCTGGGCAAGGTACCTGAGCAGGTAGATAAAGGCCAGCTCTAGGCACTCCTGGATGAAACTATCTCGATCCACTTCAGGCTGGTTTCAGGCCTGGATTTGGAGTGGAAGCCACCTTGGCCATCCTGTGGGATGACGGCTGCTGAGAGAGGGACAAGGGGAGCGTGGTCATGCTGGTTCTGCCTTTGGTGCCATCAAGCATGGTGTCCCTCCTGGACTGGCGAACTGGGCTGGGAATTGGGAGCACTGCACTGCAATGGTTCTGTTTAGAAACACAGAAACAGAGCGAGCCAGAAGGGGCCTCCCGGGCCATCTAGTCTGACCCCTGCTGCCAGCCAGCTCTGTTCATGACATGCCTCCCATGTGCATGTCCAGCCTCACCGATGGGGCCTCCACCACCTCCCGTGGAAGCCCATTCCATGCCCTCGGGGTCCTAACCGTCAGGAAGCACTTCCTGGCATCCATGTTGAACCTTGGATGGCAGTGGAACTGGCCAGCCAATCGGAATTGCTGGGAAATTGCTTCTTCGCCACTGCCACTTATGCTCCGGGGCTATTAGGGCTCTAACTGATCTCTCACCTCTCCTACACAAAGCCATTGGAAGGACTCGTGTGGAGATACAAACCGAGGCATCCCCGTACAGTTGACACCCAGCTCTGTCGCTCGTTAAGGGACATTTGGGCCATGGCTGCTCTGAATGAGTGTCCAGGAAGCACAATGAACTCGACGGGCGCCAACAGACTGCGGCTCAGTACCGGCTAAGGCAGAGGGCTTGCTGGTGGCTGGCTGGCCTGCCCGGAACAGCCATCCGTGTTCAATCTGCTCTGGAGAGGGCCGTGTTCCCCTGGGGGATCTGCCTCATAGGCTGGGGACACTCTTGGATCCAGTATTGTCACAGGGGGCAGGGATGGGGCCGGTGGCACGGAGTGGCACTGATCAGCGGAGGCTGGCACGCTGGCTGCGGCTTTCTGGCCTCCATGCACTGGCAGCCTGTCACCTGGCCCAGGGCGGTGTGTTATGCACGGGAGCGCCCTTGCACCCGGCCCAGACACCTTGGCTGCCCCGAAACAGGGCAGGGAGGGAGCTAGTGGGGCTGGCCAGAAGGAGGGCATGTTGTGAGCGGAGCCAGCTGGAGCTGTGGGGGCAGACTAGATGGCCCGGGAGACCCCTTCTGACTCACTCTATTTCTACATTTCTAAGGAGCACGTGGCTCCGGCGCTTCGTGGTCTGCACTGGCGGCCGGCTGGCTGGCCTGCCTGCCTGCTGCCAGACCCAATTCAGGCTGCTGGCATTTACATGCAAAGCCCTTCCTGGCTTGCAGTCTGGTCACCCGAAGGACCATCTCCTGCTGGAGCCCTAAATTCACCCTCGCAGGCCCTTCGCTGGGTGTTCCTGCCAAATAAGGTGATGCAGGTGGCTACTAAGCGGCAAAGCTGTGGAATGCCCTCCTCCAGAAGATTTACCTGGCACCCAATTTATGATCCTTTTGGTGCCAGGTAAAGCCCCTTTCATATTCCTGGACTTTTTAAACCTTAGATCTTAAGCATATTAATAGGTTCTTAAATATTTGCATTGCTGCTAGCTTTTATGTTGGCTTTATTGTACTTTGAGGTTTTTATATTGCATTTTACTATGTTACTCTGATTTATGGTTGTAAGCTTTGTTTTGTAAAATGCCCAAGCAAAATAAAACCACTGGCTGCCTGGAGAAGGCATGGAGCCTCTGCCAGTTAAGAAACGAGCGTCTTGTCCCCCAGCTGCAAACCCACCTCCGGGCAGTGTCCTTGCCGCTGGAGGCCGGACACATGCAGTACACAGAGGAGGTGCGAGGGCAATGGCTGCTTCCTGAGACATGATTTCTCTGTGAGTTTAACTGTAAAATCAAAACCAAAACCTCCAGCTACGAACAAAGTGGCCCACTCCAGCTCCGTGGCTGTGGATGAGACTGAACACATTTCATGCTCCTTTACATTGGCTGGGAGCCGCCACGTCTTTGGACAAAACAATCCTAATCCCAGACACTCACTTATTTTAAAACTAATCCAATTGACTAATCTCACTAACCAGAAACAGTTTCCTTCTATTCTGCACCACCCTGACTCTGCTTTTGATGGGTTGCTTCTTGTTTTAATTGTCCATTGATTGGTTACTAGGTAACAGCTAGTAACCCTTTAGCCTTTGGGATGCATGCAAAAGTGAATGGATTTGCTTGGAGACCACTGCTGTCTGTTCCATTTATCCTGAGAAATGCCTCATCCCTGGCCATCGCTCTGCACTGGGACTCTGCCTCACTGGAAGGCAGCAGAGGGAGTCCCCTCTGCTCAGCACCGCTGGGGCCTCACTTGGGGTCCTGGGTCCAGTTCTGGGCACCTAAGCTTTGAAAAGATGCAGAAAAGCTAGAAAGGCGCAGGGGATGATTTGGGGCCTGGAGGCAAAGCCCTGTGAGGAAAGATGGAGAGAACCCGGCCAGTGCGGCCTCAGGAAGAGAAGAGGCAGGGCAGCCCCTACAGGTACCTCAAAGGCAGTGACGGAGAGGAAGGACAAGATCTCTTCTCATTTATTCCAGAGAGCAGGGCACGGAATGGCAGACTCAAGTTACAAGAAACTATGTTTGGACTAGACACCGGGAAGAATTTCCTGACTGCCACAACAGGACGACAGTGGAACCAATTACCTCAGGAAGTTGTGGGCTCTCCCTCACTGGAGACACTCAGAGAGCATTTGGACAGTCCTCTGAATGGGCTGGTGTAACTTGATGTCGTGCAGCAGCAGAGGGCTGGACCTGCTGGCCCCTTCCAAGTCTGCTACTCCGTGATTCTGTGGTGCACCCCAGAGAATCCAACCCCAAATGACCCTCGGGACTTGCGTGGGTGCCATGGGGAGCGTCTGGCGATACGCAGCTGGCTCAGACTGACCTCACCCAGCGCGTCCACCTGCATCTCAGTCAGGCAAGCGTAGTGACCCCCCCCCCACCAGCCTTCTTCACCTGCTGCCTTGATAGAGGCCAAACTTTATGTTATGTTAAATGTGCATTTTTGAAGCAAAGAATCAGCCACTTTCTTTTCTTTTAATTCTCCCTGCCCCCCCCCCCGCAAGAAACGGTAGACAGAGAAGCAGTTAACTCTTTCTTCCCTCTGCTATCTTCCCACTGCTCCCCAGCTGCTATTTGCACCCAAAGCTTGTAGTAAAGAGTTAGCTCTTCTCTGAGAGAAGAACAGCAGCAATAGGTGGGCTTTTGCCAGGAAACTGCAGTTTGCGCCGTCTTGCCGCTGCTGCTTCTGAAGCAGCGTGGCCAGCACTAAACCCCTCTTTATTCAGACGCATGCTGAACATGACATGCTGCTTGCCCTCGCAGACGGTGCCTGTGTGGCAGTTCTGGCCAAAAGCAGCTCCGGCTGCCCCCACCCACTCATCCACACCACCCATCTCCTGAGCCACCCGGAGGAGCCTCTCCCCTCCCCCACTTGTCCATCCCACGGCAACAGGCGCTGGAGCCGGGTGCTGCGTTTGTGCAGCTACGGGGTAATTTGTGCTTTTCTCCTTCTCGTAACGTCACAGACCTTGGCAGCGTAAGAGCAGGGCTGCACTCAGCCAACAGACAAACTTGTTCCAGAGGCTGCAGCTCTAAGGACAATCCCCCGAGCCACTGTCCATGACATTTTGGGTGAAAACAACAGAGACAAACAAATATGCATCACACACTCTGAATCCTGAAAAGTGACTGGAAAGGACACGGGAAACAGAAGAGCTGCATTAGCAAGTCCGGGTATCGAGGAGACTGTGCTGAGAAGAATACAAGAAAAGCCACGCTGGATCAGCTGCAGGCCAGCCAAGGGCGCAAGAGGGATTCTGAGCCGCCCTCTGGGCCACTCTGGAGTCACGGCGCAAATCCCCCCACAGATGCGGGGCTAAGCACTGCCCCACCGCTCTGCTCTCCCTCTCACCAAGGGGCCACAGCTCTATGCTACTTGCAGGGCAGAGAGCAGCAGCAGCCCCCACGGCCCCACTGCAGCCGCGCCCGCATGCAGCGCCCTTCTGCTCCCCGTCCCCACCCAGAACTCGAGCACCTCCGAGCCGCGCTCACCTGGAGGAAGCAGGTGCCAGGAGGCACACTCTCTTTCAAGGAGACATTGTAGAAGTTGCTCTCGAAGATTGGCTCGTTATCATTGACATCCTGCAGGCTCACCCGGAGCACAGCCGTGGAGGAGAGGGGCGGTGTGCCCCGGTCAGTGGCCAGCACAATCAGCTGAGGCTGGGGGTCGACCTCGTAGTCCAGAGCAGAGGCCGTGGTGACGATGCCCGTGGCCGGGTCGATGGCAAACCAGTGGGAGTGCGTGTGCGGCGTGTGCAGGACGCTGTAGTGGACCTCACCGTTGGGGCCCTGGTCTTTGTCGCGGGCAGTCACCTGCAGCACGAAGCTGCCCGCGTAGACCACCTCAGGCACACTTTGCTCGTACTCCTGAGCGTCAAAGAGCGGCGGGTTGTCATTGACGTCCGTCACCTGGAGCACAAAGGCAGACTCGGCGCGCAGGGGGGGTGTCCCAGCATCCGTGGCCGTCACGCGCAGCTCGTACGAGTCCCGTTCCTCCCGGTCGAGCATTTGGTCCACGCAGATCAAGTAGATGATGTTGTCCTTCGTGGTGAGGGCAAACTTCCCTTCGCCGCCTTCCAGGGAAACATTGACGTGGGCGTACTCCCCGTAGTCGGGGTCTGAGACCGAGATGCGCGCCACAAACTGCCCTGGCTGGGCCCCCTCAGAGATGCGAGGAGAGCCATCCTCACTGAGGAAGATGATGGTCATGGTGGGCTGGTTGTCATTGTAGTCCCGCACCTGGATGGTGACAAAGGCAGTGGAGACTTCTGGGTGCACAGCCTTGTCCCGGGCCTGGACCACCAGCTCGTGGACCTTCCGGAGCTCGTAATCGAGCCACTTGTTCAGCTTGATCACCCCCGTGGCTGCGTCAATTGTGAAGTACTGCTCGGGGTCGCTTTGCCGGCGGTTGATCTCATACACCACCGCACCGTTGTCCCCCTCATCCGCATCTGAGGCAAAGACTTGCAGGACGCTGCTGCCTGGCTGGAGGTTTTCCGGGATGAGGGTGTGGTAGCGGCTCTGGTTGAAGGCCGGGGCGTTGTCATTAATATCCTGGACAGACACATCCAAGGTCATCTGGGAGCTCCGGGGCGGAGACCCCCCATCATAGGCCTCCAGAAACAGCGAGTACCTGGAATGGACCTCCCTGTCCAAGATGCTGTTCACCACCAGCTCGGGGTACAGAACCCCATTTGGCCCACGGCGGGTCTCTATGAGGAAGGCCTGGCCTGCACTCGCCCCCTTGATCGTATACCCTTGGGTGGCCAGCAGGCCGCTGTCCGCATCGAAGGCTGGCTCCAGGGGGAAGCGGCTGCCCAAGGGCGTGTGCTCTGGGATCTGGAGGGAGCCGTGCTGCCGGGGGAAAGTGGGCGCGTGGTCGTTGATGTCGCTCACGAGCACATTGACCTGCACGGTGGCCCCTTCTGGGGTTACGGCGATGAAGCTGTAGTGGTCGCGGCTCTCGCGGTCCAGCACACGGGCCGTCTTGATGATCCCCGAATTCTCATCGATCTCTAGGTCCGTGGCCACCCCACTGCCCTCCTGGGCAGAGATGAAGTACATGTAGCTGGTGGTGCCAGGGGGAAGCCCGGCACTGATGTCCCCGATGATGGTGCCCGAAGGCTGCTCCTCATCGATCTGCAAGTCCAGGGTGCCCAGCACTGCAGAGCCCTGCCCAGGCACGGGCCCCCCGAGCAGCAGCAGCCCCCACAGGACCAGCAGCCCCATGGCCGGCCGCTGCAGGACACGTCTGCGAAGAGGGCAGGTGCAGGGGGAGTGGGCAGGCTCCATCCACGCAACAGGCGCCTCAATCCTGCAAGGAATGCAAACGAGAAAGCTGGTCAGGACAGGAGCGAGGCGGGGGGCTGGCGTGGCGAACCGGGCCAGGGGGGCAGAGCAGGAGGGGAAAGACACCTGCCAGGGAAGTGTCCCCATCCATGCTCCCCCCACGCGGCTGTCTGTGGCCCAGCACATCTTGAGAAGCCAGCAGGGCCTGGGAAGGTGGGAGGAGATGCCCACCCTGAGGCATCTCAGCAGAGCGGGGCTCCCCGCTGCCCAAAGGAAGCCCTGTTTCCTGGGACTGCTCTGCCACCTAGGGGGGCCCTGGGTGGGCGCGCTCCTGACCCCACAGGATTCCACCTGCAGGGATGCCCCGGGGCTTGTCCTGGGGGACATCCGGGGCCCCTCTGGCTCCAGCCCGGAGGCCCCGCGCCAGCGGACGAGGGCCCTCACCTGCCACAGCGGCGTGCAGCCAGGCCCGGGAGCAGCCGCCGGGGGCGCCGCGGCGGCCCGGGC